CTTTTTCATTGTTCGTCTTTGGTCCTTTAAGAATAAATGTCCAATTGCAGCTCTAATACAGTAGTGCAGTGTGGTGTGATGGTGGTGTGATGGTCTTATGCATCAGGCTTCAATTTTAGCTCTGTGTTAATCTATTGCTTTGTGTGTCAATCTGGCACGTGTGGATGGTAAGAACTATGCAAGGAAAACACACATGGCAGCCTTCATTATTTTCATCTTAATATATAATTTGTGTTTATAAAATGTACAAACTAGTGCCATATAAGGGGGATAGTGGTACCTCACAGATTTAGAGAGTCCCTTGTACGATTTTTTGTAGAATAAACCAAATCAAAAAATGACAGCATTGTAGAAAATCTCCCTTTCAATTTTGTTTTTTATTCACCAAACACTTTGTATTACAAGTGATGCTTTAACTGTACTAAATTGTTCCCTCTCCCATTGGTTTTGAAAACATGTAAACATTGACAGTGTAAATCATCTCCATTTCAATTTTGTTTTTTTATTCACCATACACTTTGTATTACATTGATGCATTTACTGTATTATAATGTACCCTCTCCCATTGGTTTTGAAAATATGTAAACATTGGCAGTGTATGAGTTTCATTTTTTTCTCCACAGAACACTTTCACATTTGGAAGAAAAGTATTCTTAGTAAACACACCTAGTCCATTGGGTTGGCTTGAGGTTAAATTGGCCAATACAGAGTTTCTTTTCAGCAATTAATAAAGTGATGGTATTCTGTTGGCTTGATTTGTTGATTCATGGATATCATCTTTCATGTAACTCGTATCACATTACATCTTCTTGTGTCCGATGTTAGCTATTTGATTTTCAGCTTATCTGTGGATTTTGTTCAAAATGAAATTGAAACAAAGAGAATGTTTTTTACGTGTAGATGGGCTGAAAAGCCTATCAAAGTATGCTTTCACCTTTGACATTGTCAAATATGTGTATTATAGTTATTCTTTTTCATTGTTCGTCATTGGCCATTTAAGAATAAAGGTTCAATTGCAGGTCTAATGCAGTAGTGCCATGTGGTGAGTGGTCAGAATAATAGTGATTATTCATACATGTTTGTATTAGAGCTGATGGTCTAATTCATCGGGCTTCAACTTGAGCTGCCACTTGAATCTATTGTTTTGTGTGTCAATCTGGCATGTGTGGATGATGTAGAACTGTGTTTTCTGCATAAGCTGTAGTAGACTGTCCGTGTTTTTTCCAGATATGCACCATTCATATTTATTCCTCTGTTTTATAATACTTTTTGTTTCAGTTAAGTTCTGCACAGGTTTGAAGAGATACATTTTGAAAACAAGTAAGATAATTTCCGGGTCTCTTTAAAGACTGAGACCGGGTATAAAAGGAAGATGGAACAGCCCACAACAGCCAAATATTGCAGTTAAAGTCACTATTCAGACCAAAAGGGAATATTTTCCTGTTTTTCAACCTTCCTTTTAGAAAGAGTTAAGATGTGAATTTTAATTAATCAGCCATAATAAATCAGCCACAATAAATCAGCCACAATAAATCAAATAATGTTTCCATTTACTTATTCCGTAGAGTTCCAAAATTAAATGTTACAGGTTTGTAGACTTTCTTACTCTGACAGATAGGTTGGTTGGGATATTGTTGAGGTTGGTAGATGCAGGTATATTCCCGATCTACATCCTCATTCCAATAGAGAATAGCCAGATTCTTTCACATCTTGTAAAGAGTAGTTTCAAAGCAAACAGTTTCTTGTTTCGATAGATATTCAAAGCATTGTTAAAACTTTCAATATAGGAGGTGTTGAGTCCCTCAGTAGCGGGGCTGCCTGTATAAAGCTGACTTTTTTATGGCATCTGCCCTCGCTGTTGTGATGGTTATTTTGGATTTCTCATTATTGACATCAGTTTGACATCTTGATTCATTCACAAATTATATTCATTTCTATAATGTTTTAGAAGATTGTCAAGCATTTCTTTAAAAGTCAGGACTTTTTTTTACAAAATTTAATATTGAAGTATATGCAAATCCCTAAAGCTGACTTTTTTATTGAATTATGAAGAAGTGTCTCTGCCCTCGCTGATGTGATGGCTATTTTGGATGGCTCATAATTTACATCAGTTTGACATCTTGAATAAGGTACAAATTATATTCATTTCTTTACTGTTTTGGAAGATTGTCAAACATTATCATTATTGACATCAGTTTGACATCTTGCTCCATTCACAAAGTATATTCATTTCTATAATGTTTTAGAAGATTGTCGAGCATTTCTTTAAAAAAGCCAGGTTTTTTCACATTTAAGTACAACTACACAGGTTACATACATTACAAATACTATTACAATCTAATACATTATTTCTTTTCATGTTGCAGTTGAGATTCTCTATGTCTCATTAGTCAACAATATACTACTTCACTAAAAAAACATAAGGTATTGAATGCCCATGTTAAAGTCATGTATTCTTTATTATCTAAGACATAAAACGATGTCAAAAGGCATTCAATGATTGATTTTCCAAAACATGTTTGAAAAGACTGGAATGCCTCCTTAAAATATTGAAATTATTACCCTTTGAAAAATATATTTCAAAATCAAAATTTGAATATCGGAATTTAAGACATGCATTCCAAGATATTTTAGCTTTCATCATATAAACTAGATCTCAAAAATGTATACATTTGTTTAGATTCTCATCAATGGGTTTCTTTTTACCTTCTGAATGTCCCTTATTGTTCTGCCAAATCTCCTCTCTTACCATAGCTTCAGCTGTATCATATATGTTTGTGACGAATGCTATACAATACACAAAGAACATATGCTCTAATTATTATATGATGGAGACACAGAATTGGTTGATATATCTCCATGATTGTATACAGCAGATAAGATGTGAATATATTAAGATAGTTATTGTCTTAACATAACCTTTGAGGTTCTGGAAAGTCATTTCTCTCCTCATAAACCTCTCTTCCATCAAAAAGCGGACACCTTTAGACATTGTCTTCTGTAGCTCAGTCGCCCTCTAAATTGAGTCTGGTATATCGTGTAAATATCATGAAATATTATAATCTCAACTTTGAATTAAGCAGTTATTAATTTAACAAAAAATTAAAATTGGTGCTGCTAGTTGTTTATCCAGATACTACAGTTAAAGATTCTTTGCTGCATATGATATCCTGAGTAACAAAGGTTGTTAAAGATAGTGAATGCACTAGTCAGCAATTAGATTGCATATGGGGTAATCTAATTTGTCTGAGCATTCACGCCCTTGATTTGATTTTATTCTTCAATTCTTCTTGATTATGCATGACAGTGATTGTGTAAAATATAATTTAATTGTTATCTTACAGTTTTTCTGACAATTGTTCTCTCAGACTGATTTTCAGGTGAAACCAATGAATGGGGAGAGTTGCAAAGATTGGTTGTTGAGGTTTCCTGTGTTCTATCAGGTGATGTGATCAGATGGTGTTGAAGTGGGGTAGCTGGGGGTGGGAGATATGTGGTCCTCACTCTCTAATGGTGTTCATAGGCTGAGTTTGTATGTGTGAAGGCTGATGAAGTACAAACTTCTCCACAATATGCATCATGCCTAAATAAAGATAATATGTATACATTATACGTGGCAAATCTTTGAGGGGATTCAGATTTCCTTCAAACATTTCTTTCAATTTAACCTTGAATGTTCTAATAGTGCATAGGATAAGACATAAGTTGCACTTTTACAGCAGTGCATGGATATTAAATCTTAATACCTTGAAGTAGATTAAAGGAAGTCTGGTTTTCAAATATGACAAGATTTAATTTTTATATTTTTAAGTTTTTAATATTTTTAGGAATAAGCATTTTTCAATTTTCATGTCATTTCACATCTAACTGCTCACCTCTTGCAAGTTTTGGGGTTGTGTGAATAGTTCTATGGAATTGTTGTTGTTGCACAGCAAAGTGATCAAACCTTATGTGTACAAAGGCTGCATCGTATGAAGGTTGATTAGGAATGAAAGGGGTTGGTTGATATAAGTTACTAGCGCCTCCAAAGTTTGTGTTGACATTAGAATTATCAGGGGAGGATAACTATTGGGGTTACTATGAGACTTGGTATATACAGGCATTGCATTAAATGGTTGATAGGCTGGGTTAAATGGTTGCAAGGGTTGGTAGTAGTTTAAGTTTGAGCTTTGTGACTTATCAGTATGCGGAGTTGCACTGGCATTTGGAGTAGAGGTATCAGAGGCAAAATATGAAAAGGTACTAGAAGCAGTAAAGGTAGAGGCAAGTTAGGTTGAAGAACCTAGGGTAGAATATAGTGAAGTAGAAGTAGTATGAGAAACTGGAGGGGTATTAGAGGCAAAAAATGAAAATGTACTTGAGGCCGTAGAGGTAGAGACAAGTGAAGTTGAAGTACCAAGGGTAGAAGATAGTGAGGTAGAAGTAGTATCAGAAATTGTTGGGGTATTAGAGCCAAAAGATGAAAGGGTACTAAGGGGAAAAGTTTTTTGATGTCAGTCAATGCACAATGAACATGCATTTGCACATGCATTTAGTGGAATGTATAAATTACTTCCGGACCAAGTCATTCATTCTGGTGTTTTAATTTCAGAGAATGAATGGTCTGTTAGGGAACTATCCAACAAAAAACCATGCAGTGACACTTCAGATGATGAGAAAGTTCATTTCAGGTCAACATCAAGAATCTGTTCTTACAACTGCTATATTTGATCACTCCAAAACCAAGTTTCTGTATACGTGGGGAATCCAGTTGTAGCAAAACTTTCATCTCGTGGTTCGCATCGTACGAAGCGTTCCTAGATTGAAATGTTTCTTGGCAATATATTGCTCATTCTCCTTTACCACTGTTACGCATACAAAACTTCCTTGGCCTATTGTAATTGACTTTGAAGCATCACTTTCACCTGCATTGCGCAACTTAAGTTTCATCTGCTGTGGTACAGCTTCGTTTACGAGACGCAATTCCCAATGAATCCCTATTTGTTTTTCATATGCTTGTCTTTCCGAGAAATGTGTCGTATTGATACTTTTATAATAAATAATGTCCGATGTCAAAGAGTGAACCTGTTGTTTAAGATTGTCAATTTCTTTATTTTTTGCGACAATCTCATTCTCTAAATTTGTTTTAAACGTTTTGGTTACATTTCGCAACTTCGTTGCAACATTTCTCAAATGTAGTTTGAACCATTGTGCGTTTAACGGTAGATTGATTGTTACTTAGTAAAGGCATGTTAGTCTCAGGTGAAGTTAACTTTGGCACATTTGATTCGACAAATCCATCCACAACTTTCTCCACGATATCATTTGTTTTGTTAGTTTTGTGTCCCTTCTGCTCCATTCAAATTTTATGAAATACTGTTTTCTCTCATTATTGTCATAAAATGAACTGGTACATTTTGATTGAGCATCTTCGTCAAATTCACAAACAAGTAAACGTCCAAACACAACTGGGTTAATGGCTTCTTCGGCAAATTGTGCATTACCTCCTTCATGATTTTTTTTAATCATTTTAATGCAATATTGTCGCAAATCTTCAAATTTCCAAATTTTCCAAAAGGACAGTTTTGCAAAGCAATGTGATGGTGCATTTTTTGTTCTTGAATTGAATTGGCGTTTACAAGCGTCTTTGAAGAAAATGATCTTAAGGGCAGTTTTAATCTTGCTAGCAACTCCCATTAAAATATCAGATTGCATCAACATGTTACAGAAAGTCAGGATAAGTAAGTATAATTAGCAACATGACTGAATTATGATTTTAATTGGCTAAGCTTGAGGATTTTTGAATTTGAAAAGTGTTATCTATACTTAATTAACTGTTTTTCAATGTCTTACAACAAACATTGAAATATGAAAACAATAGTACATTTTTTCAATCGTATGAAATGTGAGTAAGTTAACACCCTCTTTGAGTCAGATTCAATGTTCTGTTTGTATCAGTTACACACATTGCCATGCCATAAATAAAGATACATACATGTATACATACGTACATACATAAAAATAAATTAATGCAATTGTTAACTTTTATGTCAAATAATATACAGATGTCCCAGGACAGAAACATAGTATTTTAAATGCTGAAAACATTTCAAAGTACTGGCTTATCGTGACTATGTTTTCATATTTCCTGGCAGTAAAGTTACTCTTATTGGAGAGATGGACAAAGTTGAATGCATGAGTATTCAGATTGACACATTATGTCGTCTTCGGGTTTCAACCAAATAGTACTGAATTTAAAAGCGTATTCGGTCATATTCTTTTCCCCAATCGAATACGTTTGAATATAAACTTATAAGCTACTACATATACGAAATGAATATTTTTTATGTGTTTGAATATATTCGATGTGTATTTGCAAAGGATATTGAAATTTTATTTAAGCGTATTCGGTCGTATAAAGCCAATTTCATGCATTGAAAAATTTTCTGTCCTTATACTTAGACCTCAGTCCATTGTATTTTGTTCTTACTGTCTGGAAGTTGGCAAATCTGAAGCCTTGGTTTGGTATGTGTCCTCTCAAAAAGACTCCGAAATGTAGGACCTGTAAGTGTTATTTTGTGTTTCATGTTGTCAAATGTATAGGATCTTTGTATCCTGTTTGTAGAAAACACACATGCCAGCCTTCAATATATTCATCTTAAATGGTATAATTTGTCTTTATAAAATGTACAAAGTACTGCCAGAAAAGGGGGATAGTGTTATCTTACCGTTTTAGAAAGTGCCTTGTACTTTGACTTTTGGAGAATAAACATCCAAAAATGACAGCATTGTAGAAATCGTCTCCATTTTCATCTTGTTTTTATTCACCATACACTTTGTATTACATTGATGCATTTACTGTATTATAATGTACCCTCTCCCATTTTTCTTGAAAACATGTAAACATTGACAGTGTTAAGGTATGAGTTTCATGTTTTTCTCCACAGCACAGTTTCACATTTGGAAGAAAAGTATTCTTAGTGAACATACCTTGTCCATAATGTTGGCTTGGGGTTTAATTGGCCTATAGGTAGTTTCTTTGCATCAATCAAGGGGTGATGTTCTGTTGGCTTGATTCGTTGATTCGACGATATCATCTTCTGTGTAACTTGTATCGCAGTTCATTTTCTTTAAGACATGTCCGATGTGTCAGCTATTTGATTTTCATGTTATCTGTGGATTTTGTTCAAAATGAAATTGAAACAAAGAGAAAATAAATAAATAAGTAAATTGGCTGCACAGCCTATCGAAATATGATTTCTCCTTTGACATTGTCAAATATGTGTATTCTAATTATTCTTTTTCATTGTTCGTAATTGGCCATTTAAGAATAAATGTTCAATTGCCGCTCTAATGCAGTAGTGCAATGTGGTGAATGGTCAGAATAATAGTAATTATTCATACATGTCTGTATAAAACCCGATGGTCTAATTCATCAGGCTTCAACTTTAGCTGCCACATTAATCTATTGTTTTGTGTGTCAATCTGGCAAGTGTTGATGGTAAGAACTGTGTTTTCTGCATAAGCTGCAGTAGACTGTCCATGTTTTTTCCAGATATGCACCATTCATAGTTATTTATCTTCACATAATACTTTTTGTTTCAGTAAAGTTCTGTACATGTTTGAAGAGTAACATTTTGAAAACAAGTAAATCCTTTTTATACATGTTCACATTGACTTCATATTAACTAACACCAATGCTATGGATGAAACAAAGCTTGAATTATTTACATTTCACAGTTATATAGAATCCTAGTCTCAGAGTTAATGAAATTATTGGTAAATGTGACTGGGAATGAATAATAAGTCTAGCATTTTATGATGTATAACTAATTAAGGGTAAGTGTAACTGAGTGCATAAAAGTTGTAGGGATTAAAATCAAAACCACACTCTAGGGGAATAAAGTTCAATCTACAACACCAATCATTAAATACAAATAATAGAAAACACAGTATTGATATACAGTAGTTTATTTATAATGGTAATAATGTAAGCTATGATTATGGAAATGTGATGAAAGCTATTTCATTATATAAATTTAATTGCTAAAAAAAGTAAGTTATTTACAAAGATTCATTAGATTCACAAACATGAATTCTGCTGTCTATGAATGAAAGATAATATTTTCCTGTTTTTCAACCTTCCTTTTCAACTATCAAGAGTTAAGAGCTGAATTTTAATTAATCAGTCATTATTATAAATTAATCAAATAATGTTCCCATTAACTTATTTCATAGAGTTGTTCCAAAATTAAATGTTACAGGTTTGTAGGCTTTCTTACTCTTGACAGATAGGTTGGTTGGGATATTGTTGAGGTTGGTAGATGCTGGACTTTTTTATGGGCTCGTGAAGAAGTGTTTCTGCCATCGATGATTTGATGGTTATTTTCGATGGCTCATTATTGACATCAGTTTGACATCTTGACTCGGGCACAAATTATATTCATTTCTATAATGTTTTGGAAGATTGTCAAGCATTTGTTTCAAAATGTCAGGATTTTTTTCATATTTAAGTATTGAAGTATATGCAAATCCCTTCACAGAATCACTTTAATTCTCAAGTTGCTGGTGCAAGGACTGACCAAGTTTTGCTCTTGCCACCTGCTTTCTCAATCCTTAACTTGCATGCCAACTAGTCATCCTGGTTCAGAGTAACTATCTGCTCCTCTTTAATGTATTTATACTTCCCGCCCGCTCTATCGGGGAATTAATAAACTGACAAGTATAATTTGGTGTGTCAAGAGCCATCCTGTGGCCATCTATTTTGATTTATTATTTTTACATAAAAACATTACATAATCAATTTCCTAACATTACATAATATTACACAAATTAACAATAGTATAAATTCGTTTACATTGTCTTACATAATTGTATAAAGTATTACATAACCTTACATAATGTTTGAAATGGACGCTAAAAAGCCGTAACCTAATGTAAAATAAATAAAATATAAAAAAGGTTAGTTAGGACTGTACAAGCTTACTAACACATGGTGACAGCTATGTGAAAGTCTCTTTCTCAAATAGGTTTGCGATAAACGTGACATAGTTAATTACAGTCTGTAAACTAAAACAACGTGAATTTCAACAATAATACATTTGTGTTATTGGAGGTAGAATCGGGGAAAGGAGGAGGGTTATAAATAGTGTTCTTTCTTATGTTATATAATATTTTCTTAATATAACAATGCTGAATAGCTTGTAAAGTTGAAACAATAATTTTTTAACAAATCAATGCTTATTTATGTTGTCTGTTTCGAAACATGAAACTGAATGAAGGATGCTGTCTAGCTAGGAAGTAGTAGATAGACCCAAGATGTAACTCGAGACACACGTGTATAACTGAAAGTGAAAGCCAGTACATGATTGGATATCCGGCCAGTCGGTATAAATCCATTTAAGGTCCACTTGCAGATTCCTTAAATTACTTTTATACTTCCCGCCCGCTCTATCGGGGAATTAATAAACTGACAAGTATAATTTGGTGTGTCAAGAGCCATCCTGTGGCCATCTATTTTGATTTATTATTTTTACATAAAAACATTACATAATCAATTTCCTAACATTACATAATATTACACAAATTAACAATAGTATAAATTCGTTTACATTGTCTTACATAATTGTATAAAGTATTACATAACCTTACATAATGTTTGAAATGGACGCTAAAAAGCCACTGGGCACTAATAACATGAGTTATCATGTTTGTGTGGCCAAAGACCATGAAAAACACATGAACATTAATTTTTAAGACATGCGCCGTGTGTGAAGAAAAATTAGCTGTATGAGTTTTAAAAGACAATGAATTTGTTTTGTGAGAATTACGAGAATTATTCTTATTATTCTTCTAATATGCGTATGTTTTTAACTTTAGAGATTGGCCATCAGCTCAAACTCCAGGGAGTTTTAAATTTCCGAAGGATCCCAAAATCCTCGGTCACGTTCACCCTTGCTAAAACTAATTCGTTGCTAGCTATGTGTTTACACTATATACAGGAACCATAGACTTTCCAGGCCAACTGCTCTGGGAAAGGTAATATTCATTTAATGTTTGTCAAACGTACTAGATTCCAGGCCAACAGCTCTGAAAACACCATTTTAATTTGATGTCATATCCTAATAAATGATAAAAGGGGCTCTCATCTGGTATCAACCAATTCAATCATACTTGAATTTCCTTGCCCACTTATTTCAAGAGTGCATGCATGTGCCAACCGTCTAATTTAAATTATGATTCATAAATCATGATTCGATAGTGATAAGTTGATAGCTTGGGCAACACCTCAGGCTATTTATGAATTACATTGCTGAATTAATTTGAGGTCTTATGTATTTTTTAAAACTCTTTGATGCCCATCTCCCTAGGTGCATTATTTGCTGATCCGTTAGACCTTTGTTTATACACGCGTGAGTAGCCGAACCAATTCTGAAGGAATGTGTCTTATAAAACTTTGTATCAAGATTCATGAATGTCAGGGCTTTTCTTAACCATTTGCTGAAGCTGTCTCTGTGGACTTGTGTTGTATTTGATTGCAAAAACAGCGGGCCTTCTGACATACCCCTCAAGTTGAGGTAATTTTTAAGAAGTGAGACCGGGCAATATTTAGGAATGCTTCCTTTTTCAACTCGTATGCGATGCGATTTACCTGGTATACTATGTTTATATTTTTTGAAGGTGAGTTCGAAAGCACATATTTCGGAACGTTCTCTTATAAACTTGACATTATCTAATTGAATCAGATTTTGGTTACTCGAACCACCTGTTATTTCCCCTATTCTCAAGAAACAATGAAATGCCATAGCAAACATTGCTTTGAACATTGTTTGCAAATAGGG